TTATGTCTTGAGACAGTAACTTTTTGAATAAAAATAAACCTACCAAAAAAAATTAATTTAAAAAAACCCACAACAACCCACAAGTAGAGAAGCTGTGGTCTATTCACATAATGGAATACCACACAACACTGAAAAACAAGGAACTTATAAAATATTATACAAAATGGATGACCCTGGAGGACAGTATCCTGAGTGAAATATCTTGGTCACAGAAGGACAAACACTGCATAATGCCACAGCTCCAGGAGACAAAATAAAGCATCATCATGAAGTATGCAAAGACTTGACAATTAGAAAGACAAAGGAAAGAACATGTTTAGTATATCTCAAGCTTAAATAATTGAGGAAAAATTTAAGCCTTAAGTTTCAATGTTAAAGGATTCTATGGACAAGAGGTCTTACAATGTTGAAAACATTTAAAAAATATATACAGTCACTGAACCAAAAAGAATTGGTTGATATTCAGCAATTTAGGGAGGTAGTATATGATCAAGAACCAATGGTATTTGAGTAAGAAATCCAAACTGCACTGAAGGCAGTGCCAACAAACAAGGAACTAGAAACTGACAAATACCAATTGAGATGTTGCAATAACTAGACACAGCACTGTAGACACGCACTAAGAAATCTGGAGGTCAGCTGGTCAGTCACCTGGAAAAGATCCATATTTATGCTCATTCCGAAGAAAAGTCATCCTGCAAGATGCAGAAATTGGTGAAGAGTGATTATTTAATAGCACATGCAAGTGAGATGCTGCTAAAGATAATTTAAAAATAACTGGAGCAATACATCCCAGGCTACTGGTAGAAGTTCAAGCTAGACTCAAAAGCAGTCTAGAACCAGGTATCATTACTGATATCAAGCTGATTTTGGCTGAAACAGAGGTTACTAGGAAGACATTTTCCTGTGTAACCATGCTTTGGTATTTGACTGTGTGGAATACAACAAATTAAAATAACATTTCAAAGAATGGTAATTCCAGAACATGTCATTGTGCTCACATGGGATCTGTACTTATGCCAAGAAGAAGTTGTTGGAACAAAACAAGAGGACAAGAGGAGCTGTGTGGCTTAAAATCAGGGAGGTGTGCATTAGGGTTGTCTTTTAACATGGTGTTTTTTTTTATTCCTGTACTCTGAACAAATAATCTAATATGGACTACGTGAAGAAGACCACAGCAGCTGAGTTGGAGGAAGACTCATAACAACCTGTGACATACAGATGACAAAGTCTTTCTAGTTGAAAATGAAGGTTTGAATTATGATGTTTAAAGATTATATCATTTGCGTAGATTTCTCCTCACTAAGAAGAAAGCAAAAATCTTCAAAGCTGAACCAATAAACAACATCACAACAGATAGAGAAAGACTGACATTTTCAAGGATTTCATTTTACTTGGATCTACGTCAACACCCATGACAGCAGCAAAGGACCTCTCTAAAATGTTAAAGAGAAGCAATGCCACTTCGGAGACAAGGTGTACTTGATTCAATCAATGGCATTTTCAATTGTTTCATATTTTTTTATATATAAAATTGGACAATGACTAAGTAAGGCCAAAGAAGAAATGATGCATTTGAATTATAATTTTGGGAAAGAATCCCATGGACTATCAGAGAAATGAACAAATAAATGTGTCTTGGAAGAAATAACACTCAGAATTCTCCTTAGAAGAAAGGATGGTGAAACTGCCTCTCAGTTATTCTGGACACATTGTCAGGAGGGACCTGTTTCTAGAGAAAGCCATCATGGTTGATAAAGAGTGTCAGTGAAAAAGAGGAAGATTTTCAACAATGTGCTCAAGCACAACAGTCGTGAGGCCGGCACAGAACGGGGAGTTCTATTGTACTTGGCGCTACTGTGACTCAAAACTGGCCCAACAGGCCCTGACAGCAGAGCCTAGGGAAGCTCTAAGCTGCACACGTGGGGTCACCATGAGTTGGAATCTACTCAGTAACATGGAAACAACAACCTGGTCTAGTCACACTGGCAAACACAGCCAACCGTTAAAGTGGAGATGAGAATGGTGCCTACTTACAGATGCTATAGGGAACAGATGGAGAAATAGATATAACTCTTAGTGCAGACTCTCACTTATTTGCAGAGATTTCAGGGTAAGGCAGCCCCAGCATTGTTTACTGCTGTGGAGCATGTGGATAGAGTTTGGAAGAGGGATGTGTAGTGGAGGTGGTTGTGTTTCAGTCAGTGTTTAGGAGCCCCAAATCAGCCACTGAAATCCTATCTCACACAATTCTACTCCAACACAACTACAAGGGTAAGTCTAACACTGGAGGGCAGCTGGCAGTGGTGGTCTCTGCAAAGAGGGAGGGTTGCCCTAAAAAGCCCTGGCCGGGGTGAATGGGAACCAGTGCCTCCTGGCAGCTGCCACACAGGGTGAGTTGTCACCAGTCCTCCCTCCCAGGCAGCTCTCCAGGGAATGCCCAGCATAGCCTAGGCTCTCCCAGAGGTTTATACAGAGGATGCTGGAGTCCTCAGGATTCTGAAAATTTCCACCTGGCTCTCAATGGGGAGCTGTGTGTCTTCAGAAGGGGTGTCTAGTGAGATCTTTAACTCTGGGTTAGGTCTCACCTGGGTCCTCTGCTGGGACAGCCAGGTCTTTGGGAATAACCAAAGAGCTCACAGACTCAACTCTGCCCTCAAATGGGCTAGTTTTCTAAAAGGCTAAGATCTACACTTTATTGTTATATCCACTCTATGTATCACAGATGGAAGCCTTGCCTGATCTTTTACAGCCCCACAATCTCTTCTGTACTTAAATTTTCTAAACAGGTAAGGTATATGCTGTTGTTGTTGTGAAACAGTGAATTTGAACAGACCCATAGCTGACCCTCTGGCAGGCTTTTAGAGACAGTTAATTGCATGGGAGGAGATTGCCCATCCTCTGCAGGGCAACTGGTGGACTGCATGCCTTATGGACTGCAATGCAGTTTCTTGCCACTAGGCCACCAGAGCTCTTTAAGGTATATATATCACAATGATGCATGAATATGCACTACAAATACTGAACATATATAATAATTTTTATCATCTGTAGTAAAGGTGATGATTGCACTTCTCAGAGTTGCTGGGAGGACAAAGCTTAGGCACAATGAGTGATGTATTAAGTTCGCAAGTTGGACATTAATAATAGCTAATCCAATGGGGGACACTGGAAACAATCTCAACTCTATCGCAGTGGGTTGGGGTTTCTTGTTTGGGATAATTAATTTGTAGCTGACTCCTGCCTTGACCTTGTGTTGTGGGTATTTTATAAGGACCCTTGCTAGTGCAGTGGGTAAAGCACTCAGCTAAAAATAGAAAGACCAGTTGTAGGAACACACTAATCACTTTGTAGGAGAAAAATGAAGCAGCTGTTCCTATAAAGAGTCCCAACCTTACCAATCTAATGAAACAGTGCTCTGTCCTGTGGAGTCATGGTGAGCTGGCAACGAGCATTTATTTTATTTTAAAGCTATCAATGGCTTTCAATTAGAAAATTCTAATTTAGACATCAGCTAAAACTTCACTGCCGTTTTTAGCTTAGCCTTGAATGTATTTTCACAGGTAAATGATCACACCACAGAAAGACACTGGAATTTCTTTTTTTTTTATTAAATTTTATTAGTTTTAATGAACATTTACAGAGATTTTGGGTTTTCATTCATTCATTGTTGCACTCTTTTCTCCACCCTCATCCCCAGTTCGTTCTTCTTTCCCCCCCATGTCTGTTTTAATTGTCCAATTGCCACAGTGCTTGTCAAAGCCAGTTCTGATTAATCTCCTTTGTCAGTGTGTCCCTTGCCATTCCCTATCACTCCTCCCTGAGAGAGACTTCACCCTGATTCATAAGGAAAAGGGGATGGCGTATTCTCTTAGCTACTTCCTGCTGAAAAGGGACGCTGTGGGTTTCAGGGTGAATGTCTTCTCTCACTACTCTAAAGGGCCCCCTTTGCAGTAGGAAACACATAGACTATTATATGGAGATTGATTTTGGAATTTAGATGCACTGTTATCAATTGTGCTTAGCCATACATGTTCATATCCTTGAAGATGTACCATGGAAGTGTTGCAGCCTAGAAGATACAAATTTAACTAACAAGTTAAAAGTGCATGAGTCAAAAATTGAAAAGCAATAATATTCTGAGTAGAGGTTCTAATAGTGGCACAAATCAAGTTATAGAGGTAAGGTGATTCCATTGCCATCCTTACTCTAACTTAATTTTTTTTTTTTCATTTAAATTTGTTATTAACTTCAGTGAAAATTTACAGAGGCTTTGGATTTCCATTCATTCATTGTTGTAGAGACCCTGGAATTTCTAATGAAATAATTCCTGACTTTGGGTATAGCCTTTTCTATCTCTTCTAATAAACTTTGCAAACTTGTTTCTGAATTTCTGTCTCTTGGTTTTGTTTTGGGATTGGGTTTGGTTTTTTTCTATACTTTACTTCTTTTTCTTTTATACTAGTTCACTTACAAAGTTGGCAATACAATGTTTTTCATACCTGATCTTTCCCCCTTCCTTTTACACACCCTTCCCTCCACCTATCAAAATGAATTTCTGTCTCTTGTTATAAACTTTGCAAACTTGTTTCTAAAATTCTTTGTGGTGTGGGACTCAAACAAAGCAAATACAGAGAGGTAGGCTGTTTGACCTCAAAAGCTCTGAGACTCTGCTGTGGTCAAGTAAGAGAAAGACCAGGAAGAGGGCTAACGGAATTCCCCTCGTACCACCTGAATCCCTGCGCCTGGCATGTGCCTCCACTAGCCAGGCTGCGTGCTGCGCCTTTAAGGCCCACTAGGGGCGTGATGTCAGAGGCCCGCGGGCACTTGAAGAAGTGAGCACAGCAGCCAGACTGGAGACTGGATTTGGAGCCAGACCTGCAGTGTGCAGAGGTCCTGCTTTTCTCTCTGGAGCTCCAGGGCCCGCGGACATGAACAACAGACGTTGAGTGTACTGACCCAGTTTGGGCGGGCGAGGCTCCCTGCAGCAGGCACCGGCAATGGGCAGTTTTCAATTGGAAGACTTTGCTGCCGGCTGGATTGGAGGTGAGTGCCTTTAAAAGACCCCCGGCCAGAGCCAGAGAGGCAAAGAAAGGGCTGGAGGACCAGAGAGACACGGAGGGACCTGGAGGAACCCTGCGCGGGTCACATTTGCATCCAGGGATCGGAGTTAAGAATCTTTGTGCTCTTTGCGCTTCCACCACTCAGGGAAGTGCGCGCCGCCTGCAGCGGGGAGTCCCCACGCACGGTGCATGCTCCTGGGACATCATCTTGCTTCTTAACTCACTCAGGTCATCACGGTGGAGTCTGAACCAGACTCATAGCTGACCCTCTCCTGAGTTTCTGAGGCTGTAAATCCTATGGGACAAGACTGTCCACCTTTCTCCCGCGGAGTGCCTGTTGGATTCAAACCGAAGGAGAGGCTTGGGAAACTCTTTATGGACTTTGGCACCAGAGCCCCCAATTCTTGTATACATCAGGAACTTAATTCGGAGAAATTGACAGAGATTCACCCAGAGCTTCCTATTTGCCCCAAAGTTAGGGCTCATGGAACCTTGTAATCTTGTAATGATTAAACTGCACGTCAGAGCAGCCAGCCAATGGAAGGGCCAGGTGCGCACACACCCTTTGGTGCCCAAGTGCACCGCTGACTCTGAGGAGCAGGAGTGGAGCTAGACCACAGGCTAGGGGGGCGATGGGGGCCCCTGAGGTGCACCCACACAAGAGGGTATTGAGCACTCAGAATTGGAAATGTTGGCAGACAGAGAAACGTTCTCTGTCCCTTTCCTCCTGCTCCCGTCCAGGCCTCTTATCAGCCATCACCTTCCACAGAAGCCCCTCTTCAGGGCACTGTTGGCCTGAGCCTGGAAAGGGTTCGCTTAGAAGACCTGTTCCCATTTTCTTGCTTTTCCATTTTTCTCTTTCCAATACATCTATGTCTTCTACATTCTTAGATATTTGATGCTGGTGGAGGTGAGAGGGGAACAATTTGAAGACTTTGCTTGGGGAGGGAGGCATATTAGTCCTTTGGCCCATTCAAGAGAGTCATCAGATAAAGGATATTAGTAAATGCAACCTTCCCAAAGGAAAACGAAAATACCAAGGTGCTAAAACAATGGCTTTTGCTGGAATGTTGGCCCCTCAAAATATTTAGGCATGGCAGTGACCCAGAGATTTATAAAGAAAAGGCAAAGAGCAACACATTTGCTAGCCCCTCCAGCAGATTTTTGAAGACTAAAGCTTCTATAGGAGGAGATTGCTTATTTTTCTGCCTCAGGGTTGTTTCTAGTTTCACTTTTGTTGTTGTTGTTGTTATCTGCCTTCAAGTCAACTTTCATTGTTGACTGTCTCACAACTATCAAGTCAGCAACCCTACAGACAACAGATCTGAATCCTGCCCTACACTGTGCTGTCCTCAACTATGTCCAACACACTTCAACACATTCTTATAGTCACTGTGCCATTCCTTCTTGTTGAGGGTTTTCTTCTGTTATGCTAATGCTCCACCTTTCAAGCACAATGAAACTAAGGACTGGCCCTCCTAACCACATGCCTGTTATATGTTTCACCACCCTTGCCTCCAAGGAGCTCCCTGGTTGCACTTTCTCCAAGACAGACCTGCTTTTTCGTTTGGCAGGAAAATTCTCCAACACCACAACTTATAGACATCTATTCTGTCATCCTTAGCCACAGTTCAATTGTCACAGCATGTTTGTTGTTAAGTGCACAGCAAGCAATTAAGAAGCTATTGGCTTGGATCAGGCACACCTTGGTCTTTGAATTGACATCATAGCTCTTTGGTACCCTGGCAAGGTCACTGACAGCAGATTTCTCCAATGCATACCTTTTAATTTTTGATTGCTAGTACTGAGGGTTGACTATGGATCCAAGTAAGATGAAATCTTTGGCAACTTCAGTCTTTTCACCAACTATCATGATGTTGCCTTTCAGTCCAGTAGTAAAGATTTTTTTTTCTTTTGTACTAATCCTTTACTTTTTATTGGTTTGCATACAATACTGGGTGTATATTGTGTTTCATTCATGTCCTTTGTGCTTTATACAATCATTCATATATACTGTGTTCCACAATTATTACCTTTTAAAATATCTTTTTATTTTATATAGTTACATACAGAATTTGTGGGCCACAGAGTTTGATGTGTAGAGGAATGGGGTAAAGGAATTAGGAAATATCCAGTGGGGATATTTAAAAAAATAATAATAATGTGAGATATATGATTATTGTATTTCCAAATTAGAGGGCTTAGCTTCAGTTGCCATATCTGTTAGTCTACTTTAAGTCTGCTCTACTATACACAGGCTTTTCAAAGGCCTGCTATATTTCAGAAGTGGATGGCAAATGCTTCGTCTTGTTATGTCTTAATTTGGATGCTTAGTTTTAGAACAATATCTGACAGACAAGCTTTTTACCAAGCAGGTGAAAGACACTTCCCTTATAGAAATAACCAGTACATTTACTGTCCAACCCCCCAAGCTTCTATGTCTTGTCTCTTTGCTCTCTCTACCTCACCATTCCTTGCACTTCCACCTACCTGGTGAAGCCCTCCTTTCCCCAACCATCTGGATTTCTTGGCATGGACCACAAAGAAAACAAATAGGAGAGGATAAACCCAAGTTTCTCCTAGAAGGCTAGGATTTTGAAGCTCCATCTCACATACTTTGGGCTGGTGATCAGGAGAGACAAGTCCTTGGAGAAGGGCATCATGCTTGGAAGGGTGAAGGGACAGCACAGGAGAGGAAAACCCCCTATGAGATGGACTGATACAGTGACTGGGGCAGTGGAGGTTGGTTTGTCGGAATTAGTGAGATGGGTTCAGGACAGGGCAGGGTTCAGAGCTGCTGTACATGGGGTCACTGGGTCACAGGCCACTCGACAGCATGTAACGACAACAATGTATGATTTTTGTTTTCTTGATGTTGAGATGTAATCCAATTTGAAGGTTGTAGACGTTGATCTGCAGCAAGCCCTTCAAGTCCTCCTCACTTTCTGCAAGTAAGGTTTTGTCATCTGCATTATTCACATTGTTGATAAATCTTTCTTCATTCCTGATTCTGCATTCTTCTTCACACAATCAAGCTTTTCAAATTATTTGCTCAGCATACAGACTGAATAGGTATGGAGAAATGATATAGCCCTGCCATGTACTTTTCATGCTTTTAAACCATACAGTGTTCTCTTGTCCTGTTCTACAGCAGCCTCTGGGTCTAGGTCTAGGTTTCACATGACTACACTTAAGTGTTCTGCGATTCCTATTCTTCTTAATATTAGCCATATTTTGTTGTGATTCACACAAATGCTTTTGCATAATCTCATCCTCTCCTCTTACCTGAGACTCTCAAGTGGTGCTCTCACACCTTCCAGGCAAAATAACCCAAATAATCACAGAAAGAGGTTTGCAGTTTGAAAAATGGACACTGCGTTGGAAACGATGAAGGAAAGAACTGTTTAAAAGGAATATTTGATAGACATGCATAACCAAGGGGTCTGGGGTGAGAGGAGGGAGGATTTTGTGCAACAAAAAATGAATATTTTTTTTAATTTATAAAAAAAAGCAAAAGGGGGTAGGAAAATGTGCAACAATTAATGAATTGAAATCCAAGTTTTCTGTGACCTTTCATTAAAATCACAATATAAAAATTATTTTTTAAAAAAGAAAGAAAAATGGGATGAGTCAGATTAGCTCAAAGCCTTTGTTTACACAGAGCCCTCCCTAGTAATAAACAACAGGGCCCTCCTGAATTCACTTAAAATGACAATCGTCCTTGTTGAGAGAGGGTCCTTATTTTGTCAATACCAGCAGGTCTTGTTCCAATGAACTGATGTTGTTGTTTTTATGTCCAGTCCTGCAACTTATAGCAAACCTATGTACAAAAAAGCTCTGAAGTGTGCCCTGTCCTGAGCCAGTCACGGACTCCTACGTACTGCCCCTATTGCTCCAGTCACTGTATCAATCCATCTCATCCAGGGTCAATCAAGTTTCTTGGAGGCAACGATTTTGAAGCTCCGTCTTATATACTTTGTCCGGGAGGGACCAGTCCTTGAAGAAGGCCATCCTGCTCAGAAGAGTGGAAGGACAGCGCAGGAGAGGAAGACCCTGGATGAGATGAAATGATGATGAATATATTAGTAGCAAATACTTAGCAAGTGGCAGACGCTGTTTTAAATGCCATATGCATGTTTCTTTTTCAAACTGAGATAGGTTTTACATAATTAAGAAAATATATTCAAGTCTACAAGTCAATGATTTTTCAGTCATTAATTGAGAAATGTAATCATCACTGCCTACCAATTTTAAAACAACTGCTTCCATTTAGTATGGATTACATTTCAAATAAACAAAACAGTCTCACAGTTGGACCAATAAGCAGGATCATGATAAAACAGAGAAAGAAGTTGTCAAGTATTTCATTTTATTTGGATCCACAGTCAATGTCCATGGAGCGGGAAGTGGAATGTATTACACTGGATATGCCTGTGTGAAGGACCTCTTTAAAGTGCTCAGGAACAAGAATGCCATTGTGAGAAGTAAGTGATGCCTGACCTACCTATGGTATTTTAATCAACTCACATGCATGTAAAAATTAAACAAAGAATAAGGAAGACCAAAGAATTGTGATGTTGGTAAAGAATACTGAATATACCATGGACTGCCAAAGGAGTTCTGGTGATATGACACATTATGTGTTTCAAAGTTAACTCAAGGGTTAATGGTTCAAATCCACCAGCTACCCAATAAGAGGAAGCCACATGGAATGTTGTTATGAGTTGGAACTGACTCAGTGGGTTTTCATTATTGGTTTTTTGTTTTAAGGACGTGTAAAGGAACAAACATATCTCTTGTGGAAGAACTAGAACTAGAATGCTCCTGGGAAGTAAAATGATGGTGAGGCCACCAAGCTGCCTGTGACTCATAGTCACCCTTTGAAAGACAGATCTGAACCTTGCCCTACTCTGTGCTGTACTCGCAATCTCCAACATGAACAACAGACCCGTTGTTCTAGTCACTGTGTCAATCCATCTTGTC